GTAGTGTGAGAATCAGTTCCGAATGACCTAACACACGACCCAAGTTACCGAGGTAGAGGTTGTGTTCAGCACATGTACTGAGTTTGTCCACAGTTGACCTTACAAGAGTTTTTCACTAGTGCGTCGTTAAAGTGTGGTGCGGACACGACCCAAACCTGAAATAAACACAGATCCACGAGGCCGTTGTTTGTACAGGGAATTGCATTATCTTTTATTTTGACTAATTTGCATCATATTTTGTCATTAAATTATTAACCTAATGAATATATCTTTCGTTTTCTATTCATATATTAGATTAAAAGAAATTTATGTAGTATATAGACATTATTTTATATATCTATATCTACACAAACATCTATATAAAGCATTGATATACTAGTACACTTTCTCTGATAAAACATCGAGGGAGGGAACAGAGTATTGTAGACGATCACAGTTCACCAAGTTACTGAAGTTCATTTTATTCGTATTCCATTGTTTCACCTGTTGGGTAGATGTTGTGATGGTTGGCTTACTCACAGCGTTAAGTTCAATTTTGAGTTTATAATAATGTTCAGATAAAAATTATGAACCACAAACCTTTTTCATAATTTTCATCTTTTTCAGTGAACTAACAGGTGTTGTCTGTGTTAATTACTGATATACTATTGCAGCTGTGAACGGTGACAACACGTGTCAGGTAATGATGACGATGGTCTAAGTCGGTGTTGACAGCTCATTACTATTTGTTTGTTTGTTGTCAGGCATAATTATTTATCAGCCACTACTGGACACCATTTACGCTCACATTCCTCACTGTTCTAAAGCTCCTCACTGACAATTTTCACTATAGCTACTGGTGAAAAACTCACACTCAACAAGACAAGTTCGAACAAAAGGATATTTCCGAGTTCTGGAAATAAATTTAGGCTAAACTGGAACAGATTCTTGGATATATTTCCTGTTGGTGGTGGTCCCTGTTGATGGTGTATACAAAATGAATAATCGCTCGAATTGTTTGACCGAACACGTGTTTTAGTGTCATATTTGGATGTTAAAAGGATCTTTGGAAGTTGACCTTTTGTTATTGTTTATTTCACTATGGTTCCCAAATCCTCATAATATTAATAATATAAGGCTTGAAAATTCTTAATTCCTACGTTGTCTTAAACATTAAATATAAATTCTCTTAAGATGTAATTGGAAAATCTTAAGAGAAGTTCCTGCTAACATTCCTCAGGTAAAAGACAGTAATTATCACGACACAGATACAACTGAAGGTGTGTTGTTATTCGTCACTCACGTGGAAGGACTTAATCAAGTATACTTTTCGCAAGTCTCCAACAGTTCTCGGGTGATTCACGACTGCCCTGTAATAATGATAACAATAGTTCTTATAAAATGAAGTCAAAATGTTGTAGAAATCAAGGTGTATCAGCATAACCTTTCTGTACACTCTCCCAGTTACTGTCGCATATTTATTGTTGTGATCTGTAGGTTTGCTCTTTGTTATGCTGGATTATTTTCTCTTTCTCACAGTGGCACCAAAAAGTATCTTTACAGAGGCATCCAATGAATTTCGAATTGAACATCGCGATTTCTATTGTCTCGGCAGGGTTGTCAAAATCTTTAGTCCGTTGTGTCATATTTTCGCACAAAATGGCGAAGCTACTTTTTTGGATCGAGTTGTGTTAATCATGGCGCACGAGGATGTCTTACCAGATAATGACGGTAATACTTCCTCATTAGTTTTGTTGCTTTTAATTTTATTCTCAATGTACCTCAGTGTATCTAAAGAAACCCACAATGACAGACGAAATATTGTGAGTTTCTTCTCATACATACAGTAGGTTATAGTGACTCTCCAGCTATCCCCCAGTGTAGTGTTGCACTCTGGTAAACACAGATGCATGGTCAGCCTCGGGAACACACACTATCTGGATCGTGCGTCTGAGGTCAGTTGAATCCAAACTTGACATTTTGGAACTTTTCTGTTAATACATTGTCCTGTTTCTCTTAAGATGTATACAATGTTTATTTTAATATTAGTATTAACCATGAACAAGGGGAATCGTACATTCCTTCTTCTGTCATTAAAAGATTTGATTCATTACTAAAAAAAAATATATTACTTCAGCATGTTTCTTTGCTGTTTGGACAATCTGAAATATTATCTGAAATTCCTTAAAAGTTTTTGAAGCAATTAAGTTTGTGGTATTTTGTTCACAATAAAATACACTCAGCAAAGTTTGTTTACTATTAACATTTTGAAATCTCTGTAACTGTATTTATACCTGTACCAACACCTGTATTTTTATTTCAGGCTAGTCTACAACTCCTGCAGGTGGGAGTTTCCTAGTATCGCCCTTAGGAACAATTTCTTATATTCATCTTTTTTATATTTGTATTAAAAACAATGTGAGTGGGCGATGACCTGCATTATGACGTCAAGGGAGGAGTTTAAAAGGAATACTAAATGAAGTAGAGATGAAGGAAGTAATGGGAACTAATGGGTGTTATAGAGGATAGGGGGTGGGACAGGATGTAATGGGTAGTGATGATGAAGAGAGGAAGCGGGAACTAATGGGTGTTATAGAGGATAGGGGGTGGGACAGGATGTAATGGGTAGTGATGATGAAGAGAGGAAGCGGGAACTAATGGGAGAGTGAGGGGAAATTTAGTGAGAAAAGAGTGCGTTGCATAGAATGGGGTGAGGTCAGGTGAGGTCAGGTCAGGTGGCATAGAATAAGATGAAGGGGAGATGACTGACATAAAGTGAGTTGGCACTGCACTCGACCTCCTTAATTTCCGTAATTTTAAAGTAAGGTAACCAATTCACAGGTGGGTGGAATAGGGGTGACCTTTGCCCGACTACTGTGTCCAACTAGTGGTAAGCAGCCCATTTTGGTCCCATTTCTAACAGGCCCAGACCTAATAGGCACAAATCCTTAATCAATCCCACTTCTAAAAAAAGCCCCAATAAGGCGAAAGTCTTAATTAAACCCATTCCTAATAGGGCCATTAGGACTGAAGCCCCTGAGGATGGCCCCCCTCCAATTAATCAGGACTAGGGCTCATTTAACGAGTCGCTATAATTAACTAGGGATTATGTAGGATTATAATGGATAAGAGAGAAAGGTTTATCCAGTGAATTTAATGAACACTTAAAGTGATGTGAATGGTGACTGTGATGATGTTAATTGTAAAGTGATTGTTGTAGTGATGATTGTAAGTCTGGAGACGGTGGTGACTTTGTTTATGACGATTGTGAAGATAGTAATGAGGATGATTAGGAATGGTGGTGATTGTTAAGATTGTGATGAAGATTGTGGTGGGGTGATTTTGGTGGTGAAAGTTGAAATAGTGGTGATTAGAGATGAGGGTGGTTGTGATAGTGATTAGCACGAGGTTGGTAACTTTAATGATAGTGACTGAGAATATTTATGATGATGATGACGATGGGAAGACAATAATTGTGGTGATAATTATTATGGTAAATGTACAGATAATTGTGATATTGATTGTGATAATATTGACTGTGGTGGTGATGGTGATAATGACTGCGAGCGAACATGACAATCAATGAAGGTAACGGACTCACTCACTGTTAATTAGCGAGAGTGGACGAGGCGCAGGTAATGAGGTTTGAACGTGATACAGGTAAGTTATATGTTTTCTGAAGTCATAGTTCAATTTGCGTATAGCCCGCCGTGGGTTAGCAGCACTGGAGTGAATACAGTGTGGTTATAATGGTGGTGGTTATGATAGTGGTGGTAGCGATGGTGGTTGAGGTGATAGTAATAGCGCTGGTGGTGGTAGTCGTGGTGGTACCGATGGTGGTTGCGGTGATTGTAATGACTCATGAGTTTAAATCCTATACCTAATCATCCGGGAATGCCAGATTATGAGTCACATCACGATAATAAGACAGATTATGAGTCACATCACGATAATATGACAGATTATGAGTCACATCACGATAATATGACAGATTATGAGTCACATCACGATAATAAGATAGATTATGAGTCACATCACGATAATATGACAGATTATGAGTCACATCACGATAATATGACAGATTATGAGTCACATCACGATAATATGACAGATTATGAGTCACATCACGATAATATGACAGATTATGAGTCACATCACGATAATATAACAGATTATGAGTCACATCACGATAATATGACAGATTATGAGTCACGATAATATGACAGATTATGAGTCACATGACGATAATATGACAGATATGGTCACATCACGATAATATGACAGATTATGAGTCACATCACGATAATATGACAGATTATAAGTCACATCACGATAATAAAGACAGATTATGAGGTCATCACGATAATAAGACAGATTATGAGTCGCATCACGATAATAAAGACAGATTATGAGTCATCACGATAATATGACAGATTATGAGTCACATCACGATAATAACAGATTATGAGTCACATCACGATAATATGACGAATTATGGGTACATCACGATAATATGACGAATTTATGAGTCTATCACGATAATGACCAGATTATGAGTCACATCACGATAATATAACAGATTATGAGGTCATCACGATAATATAAGCAGATTATGAGGTCACATCACGATAATATGACAGATTATGAGTCATCACGATAATATGACAGATTATGAGTCACATCACGATAATATATGACAGATTATGAGTCATCACGATAATATGACCAGATTATGAGTCACATCACGATAATATGACCGGGTGTAGGTCACATCACGATAATATGACAGATTATGATCACATCACGATAATATGACAGATTATGAGTCACATCACGATAATATAACAGATTATGAGTCACATACGATAATATGACAGATTATGAGGTCACATCACGATAATAAGACAGATTATAGGTCACATCACGATAATATGATGAATTATGAGTCACATCACGATAATATGACAGATTATGAGTCACATCACGATAATATAACAGATTATGAGTCACATCACGATAATATGACAGATTATGAGTCACATCACGATAATATGACAGATTATGAGTCACATCACGATAATATAACAGATTATGAGTCACATCACGATAATATGACAGATTATGAGTCACATCACGATAATATGACAGATTATGAGTCACATCACGATAATATGACAGATTATGAGTCACATCACGATAATAAGACAGATTATGAGTCACATCACGATAATATAACAGATTATGAGTCACATCACGATAATATGACAGATTATGAGTCACATCACGATAATATGACAGATTATGAGTCACATCACGATAATATGACAGATTATGAGTCACATCACGATAATATGACAGATTATGAGTCACATCACGATAATATGACAGATTATGAGTCACATCACGATAATATGACAGATTATGAAGGTCACATCACGATAATATGACGGGTGTAGGTCACATCACGATAATATAACAGATTATGAGTCACATCACGATAATAAGACAGATTATGGTCACATCACGATAATATGACAGATTATGGAATGCATCACGATAATATGACAGATTGTAGGTCACATCACGATAATATGACGGATTATGGTCACATCACGATAATATGACAGATTATGAGCACATCACGATAATATGACAGATTATGAGTCATCACAAATGTATATGACGATTAAGGTCACATCACGATAATATGACAGATTATGAGTCTTATCACGATAATATGACGGGTGCGGTGTCTAATATGACAGATTATGGGTCATCACGATAATGCAGCAGATTATGAGTCACATCACGATAATATGATAGATTATGAGTCTATCACGATAATATGACAGATTATATGGAGTCACATCGCGATAATATGACAGATTATGAGTCACATCACGATAATATAACAGATTATGAGTCACATCACGATAATATGACAGATTATGAGTCACATCACGATAATATGACAGATTATGAGTCACATCACGATAATATGACAGATTATGAGTCACATCACGATAATATGACAGATTATGAGTCACATCACGATAATATGACAGATTATGCGAGATTTTGGTTCATAGTGTACAAACTGACATACCAGGCGAGCCGAAGTAGTTTGTAGTTCATAAGAGTAAAAACAAAATTACAAAAAAGAAGGAAAATCTGTCTATTATCCGAATCATTTAAGCATATGTCACCATCTGTTGCTGATATAGATGTAGTTGCTCATGGACACGGTGCCTAGGAGGGCATCTGCAAAGGCCCCTGATTTGTATTTTTTTTGGAGATATTCTATTGTGAAAAACTCTACCTAACAAGATTCATTATATCCAGGATTAACTAACGCTATGTGGAACTCTCTACCACATACTGTTGTTCCTATATAACCGTCATCACTTCATTTAAACCTATATAATCATCATCACTTCATTTAAACCTATATAATCATCATCACTTCATTTAAACCTGGACTAATACTGTGAGGAACTGCCTGCCACAAACTGTTGACTCTGTATCACATAACATCTACCAGTTCAAATCATCTTGCTCAAGCATCTTCAGTACATAATTCATCAGTTACCTTCAGGACTCACTAAGCTTTGTTGTTGTTGTTTTCTTCGTATCTGTATTTTTCTGGCTAAATAAAATGTTTCATGATCAATTTCAGGGAACACCTCAGTGAAGAGAGCCGACAAGGACGTCTGCTTGCTATTTCTCCTGAGCTTTTATCTGTTAAATAAGACGTGGCTGATTTATTAGAGTCATGCCAAGCAAATCTGGTCCTCAAGTCATTACGTACAATAGACATAAACACAATTATAAGGTTCTTCAGTTTTGTGTTGCCCTCGTTCGGTTGTGTGTTGATCTCGCTACTGATTTAGCTCCTGGGGATTAACTGACAGTGCAACCATGGCTAGTGTTAGTTGTGAACAGCTCTGTGCCTCTCTGAAGGCTGAGCTAGAGAAGGTCAAGGGCAAAACTTGACGTCAAAGGTAGTTATTGCGAGGATGAAGAAGGAAGATACGAGATGGAGAGAGTCTGTGTCTGGGAACAACACTGGCCAATGGAGTGTAGTGAGAAGAGGAGTAATTAAACTTTTAGGAAAAAAAGCCAACAAGGAAATGACAAGAGCTGGTTATAGAAACGTGTTCTTGTCTGGCTCCTCACACAGTCCCATCTGGCTCTTTTTTGATCCTCTGGCTCCTCACACAGTCCATCTGGCTCCTCACACAGTCCCATCTGGCTTCTCCACCACAGTCCCATCTGGCTCCTCACACAGTCCCATCTGGCTCCTCACAGTCCCATCTGGCTCCTCCACACAGTCCCATCTGGCTTCTCCACACAGTCCCATCTGGCTCCTCACAGTCCCATCTGGCTCCTCACACAGTCCCCATCTGGCTTCTCCACAGTCCATCTGTGCTCCTCACACAGTCCATCTGTCCTCACAGTCCCATCTGGCTCCTCACAGTCCATCTGGCTCCTCACACAGTCCCATCTGGCTCTCACACAGTCCCATCTGGCTCCTCACACACAGTCCATCAGCCTCCTCACACAATAGGCTACTGTTGCTACAAACCTACACAGTCCAGGTAGGTACACTGTATACCTGCACCATCTAGGTACAGTTGCCTCACAGAGTTCCTTTACCCTCTGTAGTGACGTTTACATACATGTGGTAGAGTCGCAATACAAAAGTAAACTTATGAATGACTCTGTAGTATTGTAACACTGGAGGTGAGTGTTGGAAAAGATTATTAGACGTAATTTCGCTTGGTAATAATGATAAAGAGACATATGTATATAATATAAATCAGAATATTTGTATCATCGGAGGGAACTCAGATCACCTGCTGGAACTCTCGTCACCTGCCGGAACTCAGATCACCTGCCGGAACTCAGATCACCTGCTGGAACTCAAATTACCTGCTGGAACTCAGATCACCTGCCGGAACTCAGATCACCTGCGGGAACTCAGATCACCTGCCGGAACTCAGATCACCTGCCGGAACTCAGATCACCTGCTGGAACTCAAATTACCTGCTGGAACTCTCATCACCTGCGGGAACTCTCATCACCTGCTGGAACTCTCATCACCTGCTGGAACTCTCATCACCTACTGGAACTCTCATCACCAACTGGAACTCAGATCACCAACTGGAACTCAGATCACCTACTGAACTCATATCACCTACTGAAATTCCCATCACAGACTGTAATTCAGACCAGCTGCTGAGAGCAACACTTCACAATATTGTCGTGATAATGAACTTACCTGATAATGAGTTGACTGAATTACGGGAATGCATCTCATTAGTTCAAGTCACTGATGAATGTTTAAAAAGAGCCACGACCACCCAGAACATGGAAGGTATTTAACACTAACCTGTACATAAAGGTGAAACATAGTGTAAATATATATATATGAGATGGTCTCTAGTGTAATTTAAAACACCTCAACGGTCATGGGCATCATTTAAAATATGTAAATTATAATATATATGCGTGTAATAATGTATTTAGAGCACAGGTAAACAAAACTGCCATGTTTGTACTTCTGTGAATATTAAGTTATTGTTTTCTTTTACAACCTTTGTTTTATTATACAAATAAATGTGTCGACAATACAAGGGGCACCCTGTGTAACCAATACTCTCCCTGACTACAACACAGCGTTCACTCTTCTCCCTTACTACAACACAGTGTTCACTCTTCTCCCTTACTACAACACAGCGTTCACTCTTCTCCCTTACTACAACACAGCGTTCACTCTTCTCCCTGACTACAACACAGCGTTCACTCTTCTCCCTTACTACAACACAGTGTTCACTCTTCTCCCTGACTACAACACAGCGTTCACTCTTCTCCCTTACTACAACACAGCGTTCACTCTTCTCCCTTACTACAACACAGCGTTCACTCTTCTCCCCGACTACAAGCGTTCTCTCTCCGCCCTGATCAATGCGTTCTATTGTCCTTCTCCACAACCTTTTACACCAGGTCATCTATCTTGACCCCCTTATCTTGACCTTCCCTTAATGGTAAATGCTTTCTTCAACCTGACCAGAAGAGCTTTTAATTCTCCTTCTGTGACTTCTAAAAGCTTTTAAATCTCTCCCCCTTTATCTGGGTGTCTTCTTGTGCTACTACTGCCGTAAACTAAGCTTAAATTGCTCCTGTCTTTTGCCTATAAAAAGGACTCAAGTGTTGCTTAAAGACTAAATGTTTTTTTAAACTCCTTTGTTTAAGTAAAGAATATTTTGTTTTCTTAATAAATAAAGGGACGTTTGGTACTGATTATCGAGGAAATGTTTTACTCCTCAGCTTAAATAAAATACATTTGGATCTACTTAAACCTCAATGCTTTTCTCTTCAACCGTAAAAAAGACGAAATATTAGCTTCTTAAAACACAAATGCTCTCCTATTCACTTTGAAAGGAAGACTTTTGGCACTACCTAAATTAAATCTCTTCTTCTTTTACATTAAAAGGAACATTTAGCAATACTGTACCACAAACCTTCCTTTAAATGTCATAATCACGAGCTTGTGACAGGACCACTACTACCACTACAATTATACCATAAACCTCGTTTTAAGAGCTGTCGTCTTCCTCTTAAAATAGAATCTATTTATCTTTATTGTTTAGTCCCTCGTGTCATATATTCCATCTTTCTCTTTATTCACCATTTGTCCTGTTATCATAATTCACTGTCAACTTCCATTTTACTGAAGTGACTTGGTAATTACATAAAAAAAATCACTTAAATGTTTAGTTAAAACTATGTTTAATAATATGGTAGTCCTGGATTTCGGGGTGTTCTCAGCCTCCTTTGGTGAAAGTAACTTTGCCTAGTTAATACTATCACTGTTAGAAAATTCAGTATTTTTTACAGGTTTCTTCTGTATTTCCGACCAGGAAAACGTAATTTGATTTACTTTTTTTGTTCTGTAAAATATTTCAGACACTCTTTTTCTGTTTCAATTTGTTTAATTATCAATATAAACTGACATTTTATCATACTATACACACTTCATGATGCAAAGAACATTTAAAATTGCATGTTAATGCTGTTATTTCTATATGTAATTACTGAATATGCGGTTGGCGGGTGTTTGTGCTTCACGGTCGTCGTATGTCCGTGTTTGTTTACATTATTTCAAAGCGCGCCACATCACCACATAGGTGGGTCGCTGGTGGAGTGGTACCGCTCTTGCCTCGCAAGCAAGATGTCACGGGTTCGATTCCTGGGCCGGTGGAAGTTGTTTGGACACTCTTCCTTGTCCCCTTGGTCCCTGTTCACCTAGCAGCACAGTAGGTACCTGCTGTAAGTCGAAAGTTGCGAATTCGCATTCAGGGACAAGTTGTTGGATCTTCCAATAACTTCCAACAATCTGTTAATTCAACAGATATTTTATGTAAAAATATATATAGAATCTCTG